TGTAGAAATCAAGGGCACGATAGATTCATAGTTGGAAAAAATATTTGTGGAAAGTTAGATTTATATCGTCCAGATCTACAGTATTGTTGGGACCCATCCTAATATTGGGTGATTTTTAAAATTTGTAATGTTTCTTAAGATAAGTCTATATGAAACTTCAATGTACATGCACACCACCTAGTGATGTTGTTAAAGTTCAGTTTCTCATTCAGTAGGGTCTTGGCTGATGTCTGGGAACCTGTATTTCAACTGGGCTTCTATGTGAGACCTGTGCTATTGGTCCACAGACCACCTTAGAGTAGCAGATACTGTTCAGATATCAGATGCCTCAAATAGGCTTTTAACATAAGTTTAAGGACACATAATTCAAGACTGAAGTCCCTATCCTGTACCTTAGACACAGGCATCTTTGCTATTTTGACTGAAAGGATCTAGCATAGTAGGTGGCAAAGCTGACATGTTTAGTCATGCCTATTTTAGCTAGGCTCTTTTTTAAAAAGAACTTAAACTTTTTTGAAATGACTAAAAGGAGGGGAAGAAGGATGGAGATGGGTATTGTATGGAAACTGGCAGGAAACCCTAAAAAGAGTAGCCCTAAACTGTTAGGAACTAAGGGAACTGGAAGAATAAGCTACCTTTCTCTGACTTTCCCTCTTGGTGTCGTTCCTCTCTCCTCCAGTCTCCTTTCGCTCTCACTATTGAGTAGATTGTTCTATCATTCTCCCTCATAGCTCCTGCTTACTTTTCACTTCACCTCAGCTTGCTCATAGGCCCATTAGGACCTCCTGTTCTACCTTCTGACCTGCCTTCTACATCAGCCATGATTACTGACAACTTCATTCTTTTTTGAGCACGCAGTTTGAATTGTTGAGAAGAGGGATTTGATTGGCATAGTGTATGCCTTGGGACACTGGCACACCTAGAATTTGACTGCCATTATCTGTGGATTCAATCAGTGCTGATGAGGGGAGGTAGAGGAGGTGTTTAATGCCTAGAAAAAGAAATGTAGCTAGCAAAGATTGTCACTTCACAGGGACTATGGGCGGGACACTACCTGAGTAAGCTATATGTGGTAAAGCAAGCATTCTGTGGTTTGGTCCATTTTATTTATTTCCTTCATGACGGTCATCTCTTTTCTGCATGGAGGTGGTTTAGCCATAGCACAGCCTTCAGGCAGGGCCAAGAATCAGCATGTGCTTTATTGCTGTGTCATCTTTTCATGCTCAGAGGACAGCCCAATAGGAATACTTTACAGGATCAGGGAAGGGAATCAGTGAAATTAGTGGAACCCTTTAAACCAAACTACCACTGGTTTGTTTTGTGCTTTTGGGATAGCTCAATTTATTTTAATTCAATGTAAATTTTTTTAAAAAGGATTTGAAGACCCTAAACCATGCAAAATACCAACACATGTAGGTCTTTGGTGCTATGAATATAGAAGAGGGTATTTGGGTCAGTTTTAGTAAAGGCCTAATGATTAGGGAGCCCCTCTCTACTATCCCCAGTCACTTTTATGTTCCCCCAAGAAATGTTGCCCCCTCATTCTCAGTACCTCAGAATATTTTAAAAAGCACAGACACAGAGGCTATCTTCCTAGAGGTAGTGGGCATACTCATACTCGTGCTTCTGGGGGCTAGCAGTAGGAAATGGAGGGATGTTTGAGCAAGCAGACGAATGATAGAACAAGACCAAACCCCTCTACACCAGAGTCTCATCTTCTTCCTTCTTCCTGTACTGCTTATTCAGGAGAGGAGAAAAAGGGACACACTCTTCCTTAAATGTTCCTCACACACAGACTTTTAATGAGCACTGTTTTCAGTTTTTATTTGCTGATCAATAAACTCAAGGGTAGGTCTTGTCTGTTTCCAGAGATAAAGAACTGCATGCATAACTGGTCTCTATCCAGCTGAACAAGCGCCGGTTTCTCTTTGTTTTTCACAGTGTTTCTGAAAGATAAGAGGAAACCACCCAGACATGATGCATGACCAGGGGAGTTTTCGAAATAATATTTTATAAATTCATTCCCTATTCCGAGCTGTGGAATAGGGATGGAAAGAAAGGGGGCACTACACATAGCATAAATTGACTTTTTTTCTGGGTTAAAAATAAGCAGGCGAACAGGCGCGTGCGCATACACACACACACACACACACACACACACACACACACACAAATGTATGAATAGATGTTCAACTGAAGAAAGAATAAGCCGTGTTTTAGTTATAGGCATGAAAGTCAAATAGGGCAAATTTTAGTCATTCAAATGAGTACATCCTTGAAAATTTAGCAACCATTACCAACCACAAAAACTGCCTGTGCCGTATGGATTCCAACCAATATTTAGAAGATCTAAATACGAAGTCAAAAAGCAAGACGTTTTCCCAGAAAAATATGAAATGGAATCAGATATAGTCAGATTAAGTGCATGCCCTTCAAGGCTCTCAGCAGGTTTCTGAGAGAGCCAGGAGAGAGGGGTTCACTTAAGACTAATGATGCATGGTTTTAAGTACAATAAGACTAAATGGGAGATTCATTCATACCAATAAAGGCACAGAAAATAAATGTTTTCAATAGCTAGTGAAAGTTTTACTAGCAATTTGAATGGGTACAGACTAAAAAATTATTTAGGAGCAATTTGCTCTCGAGCAAAGAAGGACCTGAAGCTGAGCCCTGACATGACAGTGGGAATGTACTGCTTTACTGTCCATGTTAGATACTCTACATTATTTCTTCTTTCCATCTCTAGGTTCATAGACTTTAATTGCTGTATTACAGACTTTTGTCTATATCTCATCTCTAGCACTGGATAGTAAGTTCCCTGTAGGGCAAAGCTCTGTGTTTCCTGTTTCCTAGAATTTTCCCACCATTCCTAGTATAGGCTCATACTGGAATAGGAACACACACACACCAAGTTAATTGGCAGAATTAATGCATGGCTTCCTCTCTAAATAATTATTTTTCCAAATTAAATGCTAAATGTGAGGAAACAAAAATCTGGATTATATTTTAATTCTAGATTTGAGGAAACAAAAATCTGGATTATATTTTCCCCTTCTAATGTTGGGTAAATCAGAGGAGCAAGTTATGACTTAAATTATTAGAACTTTATTTCAAAAGAAATTGGCAAGTTTAATGTCAGATATCAGGTAGGAAAATTAGATCTGTAGAGTCTTAGGAGAGAAACCAAAATCCAACAAACTTTTTCTTGATTCCAGATTCAATCATGCTGAACATTAGGTGACCCTATTTATTTATTTATTTTATTTCTTAATCTGACTGTATTCTTCCTGTGCAGGCTCATTTTCTGTGAAGATTGGCTTCATGAAAGCAGAAGTCTTGTCTATCTTGCTCATTGTCCTATCTCCAGTTTCTAGAACAAGCTTGCATAGATTTAGTAGAGGCTTAATAAGTAATTGTGGAAGGAAGAGAGAGAATAATTGAAAGAAAGAAGGGATAGAGGGAGGGGTCTGTTGGTTTTGCCAGTTAGCTTGGTATTTATTTACTGATTTGTCAGCTTTGTCAGCTACCAAGGTCTTCCTTGGTTTCTGTGTTAGCACTAAACATACCAAAACGATGAGATGTCATAGTTTGTTCACAAAAAACTGATAGTCTTGGGACCAGCAGTTGGCATAATGGCTATGTCGCTGGACTCCCATGTAGTGTTGACCACAGTTCTAGTCCTGGACCCGGTGGCTTAAACTCACATTGGGCACTTGTGTGTGCATGCTCAAGATTTTAAGAAGAGAATGGAGGAGAAGGAATTGTGGCATGGCCATCCCCCCAGGGGTGATTTCTCGCTTTCTGTCTCTCTGTCTCTTTCTGTCTTTCTGGTGAGTGCACGGTGCCCTATAGCAAGAACCTCTTCCCCCCAAACAAAAACAAAAACAAAAACAAAAACAAAAACCCCTGAAAGTCTTGTTAGAAAGGGAGACCTAACACAGCAGGGGTAAGTGCCACACTAGAGCAAGAGTCATGATACAGTGAGGGTGCCTGCAGGGGCATCTGATCTGCCTTGAAAAACGATGGGACACAGAGCACATGGCAAACCTGAGCAGAATCTTTTTTTTTTAAAGAGTTTTTTGTTTTGTTTTGTTTTGTTTTGTTTTTGCTATAAGGCGCATGTGCTCATCAGACAGAGAGAGACAGAGAAATAGAAAGCGAGAAATCACCCCCCAGGGGAAATGGCCTTGCTGCAATCCCTTCTCCTCCATTGTCCTCTCGGGATCTTGGGCACGCATGCACACGTGCCCAGCGTGAGTTTTAAGCCACCAGGTCCGGGACGCGAACCACAGTTGACTACATGGGAGTCCAGCAACATAGCCATTACACTAACTGCTGGTCCCTCTGAGCAGAATCTTAATAAACTCAATAATGCTTTGGTCTTGAGAACATTTTATAGTCCTAAAACTGATTGGGCTAGATCGAATAAAATAAATGGAAGACTGCAAGTCATTGCATTTTAGCTATTCTCTATTCAGAATTATTTTGTTGTTAGAAGTTATTTTGTCTAGGCATTTTGGGACTTTGATTTCATTCAGGAAATATGGAAAGCTATGGTCTACATCATGCAGCAGTATGTCCTAGAATCACAGCTTTATAAGCACAATCTAAATGACAAATTGAAGACCTGCACTAGAAGTAACACTTTGTTAAGCATGATTGCTTAGGATCACTATTTGTTCTTTTCTGAGCAAAGTCTTGTTCCTGTGACAAGGATTAATGATATAACAGCCATAAGGTGGTCTTTGCATTTTTTTTAACAACCTATAACAGTAAAGGTGCATGTTTTCCATGAAAACAACGATTTTTCCGAAGAGAGTAGATAAACGACAACAAGGGAGAATTGGTGGTAAAAATATATTAAATTGTGGTTGACTAAAATTATTTACATTTAGGGGAGGATTCTGGGGATATGCCGATGAACTTATTAAGTAAGAAAATCCAGTGTCTGGGGGAAAATTATCCTGATTTGACTTCTGGTTCTTGATTTCCTTATTCAGGTGCTGACCCCAGCACAGATCAAATCAATTTGCCAGGCAATTCTGGACTCTGGGAAGCAGTATGCCATAAAAAAGAGGAAGCCATTCCCTCTGATGTATTCTTACTATGGAACTGAATACTTGGGTGAGTGAAGGTGTTTGGGCATGGGCATGTAGGCTAGATGGGTCTAATGTTAACATTAAATAAAGACCTGAAGATTTTTTTTTTTTTGCCACAGGTCATTACTATTTATTTAACAAAAATACTTTAAAATGTTCAGAAACAAATATTGGTAGATGTTACAAATCACAATTTAATATTTTTCAAAGTCTACCTGACAGAAATGTAGCTATTTAAATAATTCCTTTCACTAAAGACTAAAGTTTTTTTATTCTAGACTGTAAATTCATTGGTTTCATTTTACTAAAAGATTATGAATGCTTTTCACATTCACAGATTGCAAATAGTGTCTCTGTATAGGGAAACCGGGATTCAGTCACTAGCATTTTAAAGTTTTTAATGGTAGTGGATTAATCACAGACGGCTGAATCACAATAGCTAATTCCAAGCTCTGAGCCACACAATGAGTAAATTAGTATTCCCCTTTTGGTTGTTGTTTTTTTTTTTTTTTTTTTTTTTTTGGACCCCCCCCCCCCCCGTTTTTTTTTTTCAGTGACTCCCATCACTCCTGAGCAAGATTTGCAAGGCTCTTTGCAGACCACCAGCCTCTTTCTCCAGACTCTGGCCTTATCTCTCCTCTCCAGATTCTTTCCAGCATAGTCCCCACGAGCAAAGTGTTCGCTGATCTGTATATTTCTGTGCACGTTCCTTTCCCCATAATGTCCCACTTCCCTCAACCCCTTCATCTACCTATACACAGACCTCAAGACTCTGCTCAAAATTAATCAGCTATCCTGACTGAGTGCTTTTGAAAAAAGAGTTGTTGAACCCTTTTCTGAAGAAACATTCACATGTTTCAGGTTTTCCCCTAAAACGAAAATGGACAACATCATGTCATCCTGCCCACACCTTTGGAGCTCTTATCACATCAAACTGTTAGTAATGGCTTAACTATCCAACCTCCTTGGTAGACTTTGTACACCTTTAGGATGGATACTTTCATTTATCTTACTCTACCTTTACCACAGAGCCTGCACATAATCAAAGTACCCAGATGAATGAATGAATAGCTAGGGAGCAATTGCAATTAGAATTTTCTCAAGGTACCTTTAAGTTCCCCTGTAAGTTTCTCTAGAATCAGACCCTGAGACAAGGATTTGTGTGTAAAGGGTTTATTTTAAGACGATCCTAGGAAGTATTGCTGGAGAAGTTAGAGAATGAGGCAGGGAAGGTAAAGAAGCTAACTGAGTATATGATAATAAGCAACTGTGGACACTGAGGCTCAGTTCCACTAGAGACTCTTAGAGACTGAATAGAAATGCCTCAGAATTGACTCATCCAAGGGATGAGGAACCTGGGATAGTTATCTACCATCTCCCTTGCTCTATTGGTCAGCAGCTCCTAGAGGTGTTGATTTCCTAGAACTTCAGCCCTGTCTCTGTGAGCTGGGCACATTCCTATGACCAGAGAAAGCCCTACTCAGAAACGATAGGTGCTTGAGGTAGGAAACTGGGAGTATAGATGCACCTGTATGGTGAGTGTGGATGAGGTAGGTAATGGGCTAGATACTGATCTTTTCTACTATGGTCCCTTAATAGAGCTATTTCTTTTATTTTTCAGAATTTTTTTAGACAAATTACCAGTCTTGCCATTTATATGAATAGCACAGACTAAATTTTGTATCGAACACATAAACATTTTCCTGAAAAGCAAGCTCTTTTTCTAATAATTTCTCTCAGTGAAAAAAGATACATTTAAACTTCATGACCAAATTTTAAGAGCAGTATAACTTTTGACTGGGTACATCTGTAAGGCCATTCTGGGAGTCAAGTCTTCTGAGTATGGCAAATAAAATGTGTCTGAATTCAAAAAGAAAGGTTTAAAATTATGGAGTTGACTTTAAAGAACAAGCCCTCAGTATGTGTTGACCCCAGTATCACTCACTAATCAGGATTCTACCATTTGGAAATGAGTGAAAACTCCAGCAGAGACTAGACTGACTTTTCCCTTTGTTAAGCAAACTCCTTTTCCTCATGAAGGCTCAGGCCTTTTCATGAGGAAAAGTTTCAGTACCTTCTGCTAAAACTCATAGAAGTTCTTCAAGACTTTGCTCGGGTGAAACTTTGCACAGAACTTTCAGTGCCATCTCCACCCCTGAGGCAAAGTTGAGTTCTCTTTTACCTTCTTGTATTAGTCATAGTTCTCCAGAGAAACCATCTGTATACATGAACATGATTTATAATAAGGAATTACCTCACATGATTATGGAGACTGAGGAAGCCAGACTCACAAAAGCCAGTGGTGTGAATTTCAGTTCAAGTCCAAAGGCAGGAGAAAACAATCAGGCAGAGAGAAATCATTCTTTTTTTTTTATTCAGCCTTTTTTGTTCTTTTCAGGTCTTCAGTGGATTAAATGAGGCCCACCCACATTGGAGAGGGTCATCTGCTTACTTAGTCTACAGATTCAAATGTTATTTTCATACAGAAACACTCTCACAGGGACCAGCAGTTAGCGTAATGGCTGTGTCGCTGGACTCCCATGTAGTCGACCGTGGTTCGAGTTCCGAACCCAGTGACTTGAACTCACGCTGGGTGCATGTGCATGCGTGCCCAAGATCCTGAGAGGAGAATGGAGGAGAAGGGATTGTGGTGTGGCCATCCCCTCTGGGAGGTGATTTCTCCCTTTCTGTCTCTCTGTCTCTCTCTGTCTTTCTGGCAAGCGCATGTGCCCAATAACAAAAACCTCTCCCCCCAAAAAGAAAACATCAGAAACACTCTCACAGACATACCCAGAGATAATTAACCAAATATCTGGGCACCCCATTCCCCATTAAAGCTATCGTATCTCTCATAGATCTCTTATCATCTCATATTCAAAATATTTGTTTATAAATCTGACTGTCTCACCAGACTGGACAGGGGAGCCTTCAAGGATATAGACCAGATATGAACCCTGTGTTTCCAGGATTAAGCAGTAGCCAATATGCATGTGCTAGATATGAACGATTAAGTAAATTAATACCAACTAACACCAATTACTAGTGTTTAACATTACAGAAGACATTTAATCTGTTTTGTTCACTGATAGAGCCTCAGCACCTGGAATAGTATCTGGTACATAGTAGATACGTAATACTTGTGTGTTGAATGAATGAATTAACGAACATTTAAGATATCTAGACCAAATTACTTTCAAGTACTTTAGCAGCGTTTTCATGAAATCTATTGATAATGTTCATTTAAAAGTTTTCTAAAATACTCTTTTTAAGTGGAGATTAGTCAACAAAGTTTTTTTTTTTGAAAGGACTAGAAAGTAAATATTTTATGCTTTGTGGGCCATACTGCCTTTCTTACAAATACAACTCAGCCATTGTTGTAGGAAAGCAGTCATAGACAATACAGAAACTAATGGGAGTGGCTATGTTTCAATAAAACTTTACCCACAAAAATAGGCAGTGGGCCAGAATTGGCCTGATGACTATAATTTGTTCTTAGGCAACTCAATTATTATATTACTGCATGTGCTTTTAAGTAATATTGCTATTTTTATGCCATGATTATCCTTTTATTAAATCAAACTGGCTCTCCTCCAATCATGTGAATTAAATATACTTTGTTTGTTGATATAGGAGCAGCTCATGGTCTGTCGTCCATCCTTCAGATGCTTCTTTCTTACCATGAGCACCTCAAGCCCTCAGATCGGGAGCTGGTGTGGCAGAGTGTGGACTTCCTCATGGAACAGGAACAGAACTGCAACTGGCCACCTGAGCTTGGCGAGACCATCGAGAGAGAAAATGAGCTGGTCCATTGGTGTCATGGTGCTCCAGGTCTCACAAACTCTGTTACCTGAAAACATTACCTTTTATCTAGCTTAGTCAAAGGGAGGTTCCTTTTCCAAAAAGTCAAGGTATTTCTCACCTGTCATTAATGTGTGAGATAAAAGAGTCAGGAAGGCATTTTTCAAAACCAAAAATTTTCATCTGTACAGGCAAATGATCCTGAACATGGGCCTATAATTCCAGGGATTCATGAATGCCAAGGCAGGATAATCTCATGCTTGAAGCTGGCCTGAGTGATACAGTGAAACTCTGAAAAGGGTCTGGATATGGTAGCATATGCCTATAGGCCCAGCTGGGAGGTTGAGGAGGGAAGATCATGACATAGTAAGAACTTATGTAATATATATAACATATAATATATATTATCTATAATATATATGTGATTTATAGCTTCGTATATAAATTTAAACTAGCACTATCCAACAAAAATATTTGAGCCAAATACATAATTTAATGTTTCAGTACCCCTGTTAAAATGAAACAGGTAGAGCCAGCCAGTGGCATGGGGATTCAGGCAGGAATTCAGGCAGCTGGTACCCACATGGCCAACCTTGCAGTTCGAGCCCCAGACCCAATGGCTTGAAAAACATGTTGGATGCATTTGCATGCATGCCCAAAATAGTCAGAGGAAAATGGAGAAGAAGGGATTGCAGTATGGCCATCTCCCCTGGATGTGGGGTGGAGATAGCATACTTTTTCACTTTCTCTTTATTTGTTTCTTTCTGGCAAGTACATATGCCCTACAACATCAACAACAACAACAAAAAAAACAAAGTTAATTTTATTTCATTTTTTTTTAATTCACAGAGGACACATGCACTTTCCAAAAAGAAACCAAATTAGAGAGGGGAAAGAGGAAAAGCACTCCCCAGTGGGGCATGGTCATGCTGCAATTCCTTCTCCTCCATTTCTCCACCCTGTCTAGATTTGGGGCATGCTCGCACCTGTGCCTTGAATGTTTTTCAAACGACCGGGGCTGGAACTCAAACCATGGTCAACCATGTGGGAATCTGCCCTCTTTAACCACTAGGCTATGAGACTAGCCCAAAGTTAATTTTAATATCTTATATAACCAGTATACCCAAAATATCATTTCTACATTCAATAAATTTAAAAATTGAGATAGTTCATTTTTTTCTTTAATATTGAGTCTTTGAAATTAGGTGTATATTTTATGCTTACTTCATATGTCAACACAGGCTAGCTACATTTCAAGTGCTCAATAGTGACACTAGAGAGTGCAGGTCTAGAGCCTGGAATTTGAAAATGCGGCCCCTGGATTAGTAGCATGGGCATCTGAGAGCTTATTAGAAATCCAGAATCTCAGGACCCATCCCAGACCCACTGAATCAGGTTCTGCCTTATAACAGAAGCTGATAAAGGAAGATAAGGCAATTTATATGCACCTTAAAGTTTTTATTCATTTTTTTATACTGTGTGTGTGTGTGTGTGTGTGTGTGTGTGCATGTGTGTGTGTAAGAGAGAAAGAGAAAGCATCCTCAACAGGGTCTTATCACATCTTTTCCCAAACCATCAGCTTGTCAGGATCCTAGGCACCTACATTCCCAGCATGTTTACAGGCCAACTCATGGATCATAAACCTGTGGTCACCATATGGCTTCCAGCACTGCTGTCCAGCATTCTATAGACTGCACCACCAGGCTGAGCCCAGCTTAAAGTTTGAGAATCACTATTCTATAATTCTTCTTCATGTGACAATTCCCATTAGTACTTAATAAAAAGTCCAGAGAAATGAGAAGCTATCCCCCCTATACTCTCTGGAATTGAGCCTAGAAATTAATCAGACTCTATCCATCTCCCCCATCCCCATTTAAAAATACCATTACACTGCTAATTAGACCTTCAGTCATTAAATTCAAATAAATCAATTAATCTTGGTTAATTGGCCAGGGGAGAGATTCAAAATACCAAAATAACACAAAATTTGGGATTATGAATAGATTTAATTTCCTGCTGCAATCCCATGAGCACAGCTTTAAAATACATTTGATTTCTCCTTTCTTTGTTACCTGATTTTTATTACCTCCTTTCCCCCCTTAATTAATGTTCTTTAATCCAACTGTAAAAATTTCATTTTTTCCTTGGTACAGTTTGAGCTGATGAATAAATCACAGTCTATTGGCCATCTTTTTTATGCCTAATGCATTTGCCTATGTACATACGTCAAAATGTATGCTTTTTCCAGTACCAGGACATTGTACATTATGTGCAGGTTAACTCCTGCCAGTTATAATTTGAGCTCATTTATTCTTGTTTTGACTTCCTGGGGAAAAACACACATGCACATTATTTACTATCTGGAACTGCTATTTCTTCTTGTTATGTTCAGTTCTTCCATTTCCCATTGATGATGGTCTCTGGATATCCTCCAAGCATCCCAGGATCCTTGGATTTTGGAGATGTCCCAAATTAAATACAGAATATTTTAAAAGGACTCAGTGTGCTAATAAAAGCCCTGAAATAAATGGGAAGATAATCTACTAAAATGAGCGATTAGATTAGGGCAGTTACTTGATGTGGGTGTTTTGAAGGACAGTTATTTTCATCCTTCCTGTGCACCACACACCATCTGTCTTTGTAAATCATGTACTGTAACAATGCAGCATAAAATTCGTCACTTTGGAGACCTCATTTATCCTCCTTTTTCATTTATGTTCAATGTCTCAAGAGGATTGAACATAAGTCAGTCCCAAATCAAAATTATTCTATTCATATATTCACTGGACTACCAAAAATAAACCAATTCGCAAATAATAAAAAGTAAAATGGAGTCTATTATTTCTGCCAAGCCTCACTCCCACCTCAAGGATTTTGGTCTTTCTTTTAAGAGATGCTCTAAAACAGCATCAAGAGTGATTATAATTCTGATAAGTACAGGTCACTGATCATCAAGATCTCACCGAAGTTGGCAGTAGTAAGCTCTGAAAACTCTAAAAAAGGAAATGACCTAAAAAAATTTTTTTTTCATTTGTTTAAGGAAACTATTTTTTGAGAGTGGATTTATGAACACTCAGATGGTTTGGGGCAGCAGACGAATTCTGTGATTAAAAACCTGCCAGAGATAATCTACAATGTGGAACTTCATTAATGATACCTTATCTTTCAAAAAATATAATTGTTTCCTATTGACTTTCCTTCATCCTACCTCTACAGATGACAGCCCTGGTTATCATTTATGCAGTGTAGAAATAGTTCTTGACTCTAAATTAATAACTGTAGGTTCTAATTGTAGCTCCAACACTAACCAGCTAAGTGACCTTGAGAAAAGATCACTGTTTCTCTCGTGCTTTTGTCTCTTCGTCTGTGAAAAGAGCACGCAGAGATGAAGTAGTGGAACTCATTCTTTTTACCGTGGCAGACCCCTTCTGTACTGTGAACCCTTACTATTCCCGAGTGGTATCCTGAAAACTTTGCAAATACCCATAGTTTTAATATCTAGTGTGTCATGTAGCCTTTTCTCACTAAATGCAATAAAGTATTACAGAAAGATTGATGTGTCCCCTTTATAGCCTTGATACTCTGAAATATAATACTCCAGTTATTTGCAAAATCATTAAACGTTGTGGCTGAAACAAACTGGGCTGCATCAGATTACATCATTACTGTGGTAACACTGACAGTGCATTTCCTTTACTTGGCTCAAAACACAGGTGTGGGTATTTTTTTTTTTCCTCTGAATTAATTTCATGAAGTTTTGGGGGTAGATGACTTTGAATGAAGAACAACACAACTTTGGCAGTGTGGGTGCCATTGGTCAATAAGGTCGTAGTGCACACTATGCACTCAGTGAAATTACACATTTCCAAATGGACCCAGGTGGTCATTCTACAGTGTGTTGAAACTGTATGTGCCAGGGCTGGCAGGTGGCGTGGTGATTAAGGGCACTGGACTCCTACTTGGCCATCTGCGGTTCTGGTCCCTGACCTTGCTGCTTGCTTTCTCACTTTCTTTCTCTCTCTCTCTCCCCATCTCTGGTCGAACGAACGAAAGAAAGAAAGAAAGAAAGGAAGGAAGGAAGGAAGGAAGGAAGGAAGAAAGAAAGAAGAAAGAAAATTAAGAATATATATATATTTTTTTTTTTTTAGAGAGAGAGGTTTTGGCTATAGGGCATGTGCGCTTGCCAGAAAGAAAGAGACAGAAAGTGAGAAATAACCACCACCACCACCACCACCCCCCCCAGAGGGGATGGTCACGCCGCAATCCTTTCTCCTCCATTCTCCTCTCAGGATCTCGGCATGCACGCACACGTGCCTGGCATGAGTTTAAGCCACCAGGTCCAGGACTCAAACCGTGGTCGACTACATGAGAGTCCAGAGACATAGCCATTACGCCATCTGCTGGTCCCAAAGAATAATTCTTTAAAAACAAAAGAGAGAAGAAGCTACATGTGCCAAGTTGGCTATCACAGGGTTCTGCTAGATCCCTTATTTTCAAAGGTTTCATCTCTCAAACCATATTTATTAAATAGCAATGAATTTGAGTCCTCATTTGTGTTTGGCAAAGATGTAATCATTGCTGACTCAAATTTCTTATCAATACATGGTAATTTATGTTCCTATGATGAAATTATATCGTTCCCACCAAGGGCAAAGAAATCCAACATTCTTTCCTTTTAGATTAAGCAGCCATATTGTGGAAGCCATTAGGTCAGATTAGGAGCCAACAGGTTTTGAAATTTTCAAGGTCTCTTCCATGCATCATTCTGTGATCTAAGCTCCAAGAAGAGGCCCTCTCACTCTGGCAAGAACTGCAGGATCAATACCTCTTAAGCTGTGTGGGGCTAATGGCCTGGTATAGCAATTAGATCATCTCAGCTTGTCTTCCTTCTACATCTCTCATCTCCACCCCAGTGTCAGCCTATGCTGGGCTGAGAAATGAGGCATTATAGAATCAACAGATATTTATGGAGCCCTTGTCATGTGTCAAACACCATAGAATAGACTAGAGGAACAAAAATTAATAAGATGGAGTTCCCTCCCTTGAGTAGTTTGCACTGTACTGGGTGGGTAGACATAGAAACAGACCATATTAATCTGATCTGTGTAAGGGCCAAGGTTTGTATAAGTAGTGATGGGAGCTCAGAGGAGGGATTCCTGGTGCTGCCTCCAAGTTCAGGGAAGGCTTCCTGGAGGAGGTGGTACTTAAGGTAAGTCAGGGCAAGAAAAGTGGAAAGATTATTCTAAGCACAATATGGTCAGTCAAATAGCATGAGAGAGGACCTTCTGCATGCCATTCCATCCTTTGGCTGGAACACCTTCAACACACTCTTTGCTGGATATCTAGAAGCAGAGCCTACTCTCAAGAGGAACCTAGAAGCGGGCAGGGAAACATGCTAGGGCAAGGAATAAAAGTCAAAGAGAAGAGGCATGTCTGACCTGGAGACTAGCTTCACCCTGATTCAGAGGGGAAGCCAAGGGACATAGACCATACCAAAAAGCTGGTTCTATCTTGAGGCAAAGGAACTGACCTCTTTTACCCTGTGTCAGTGAGTCATTGGTCAAAATCTGTTGGGAAATGAGTGCTAATGGCAAATCTCACAAGAAGTGGGCAGGTCTGGGGCCCGGGAAGTGGCGTGGTGGTTGGAGGCACTGGACTCTCACATGGTTGACCATGGTTTGAGTCCTGGACCTAGAAGCTTGCTTTCTCACTCCACCGCCCCCACCCCCACCCCGGTACCTTTCTGGTCAAATTAAAGTAAATAATGTTAAATAAAATAATTATTTAAAAAAGAAAAAACGAAGTGGGCAGATCTAAGGTTTGTTATTAGCCATCGCTCATAGGAAGTGGAACAATGCTGGTAAGGTAAAGGGGATCTAGGTAGAACACCAGCAGTATCTGGTATCCTGGCTAATGCAGGTGTATATGTAATTTTTCTTACTGAAAATCATCCTTTAGTTAGTGGAAGGTATTTTGTTCCTAAAACTGAAGGAGGACAATGCTATAGGTAAGGTAAGCATTGTCAGGCTAATTCATCCTTCACCAACACTAAGAGGTTAGAGAGGGTCAGTTCCTGTTTAGGTCTTTCCTACCACCAAACATAGGTTAGAGGCCTTCCTGTATGATCTCAGGTCATCTCTGTTTCTCTGTAGATAATCTAATTAAAAACTTCAGTTACGCTGGAAAAGCCACAAAGGTAGGAATTTCTTAAAACCCTACCACCAATGGGGCCAGCAGGTGGTATGGACGTTAAGGCACTGGACTCCCACATGGTTGACCATGGTTCAAGTCCCAGATATGGCAGTTTGCTTTCTCCCTTTCCCTTTTTCTCTCTCTCCGGTCAAATTAATAATAATAAAATAATAATAATTAAAACTAAATACATAATTTTTAAAAACGAAAACTTTACTACCAACTACTGTGCCAGGCATATAGCAGAAGCTCAGTTAATATCAAAACAGCCACCTCGTCCTCTGAAATGTCTCTTTAATTAGCTTCGTTTTTATCTTTCTGCCAACATAATCCGTTCAGAGCTATGCTGTTACCCTTCTTTAGGTCTCTCCTAACAACACTGTGGGACACTTTTTTTTTTCTGTAATAGCGACATTATCATACAAAAATTAAAACCAAGCAGTCTACAATAAAAACACTTCCACTGATTTCATAGTACCCATACAATGTGGTCCGAGCTGCCTAACTGGACTCGTAAAACCATCTGTAATCTGAACCCAATATACTCTTCTACACCATGGGTGCATTAGCTAAAACACAGCCCCACTGGCCTTCAGGTGGCTTGTCCTTCTGACTCTGAATTTTTGTAGTGCCGACCTTGGTGCCTAAAATGCCCTCCCTTCCTCATCTGGAGCCTGGAGTTTCTCCTGCATCCTACAAAGTCCTGAAAAAAATCCTACTTTCATTTAAGGCCTCACCTAACTGTCTCCCTCAGAGAACTCCCACCTTTCTGATTCCCTTAGTGTTATTAATAGTACCATTTATTTATATCCCAGCAGCATTATGAACCACATGACTTATTATGCATCAGTTACATGTACATATTTTTTATCTCCCTTTTAAGACAGTGTCTTCCTGAAGAGCAGGAGTTATGTTTGGTATAACTTTTATATCACCTAGGCCAGGACTGGCTACACAATTTGGGGGGCCACTGAAAAGTGAAAATTCAACTTCTTTTTAGAAAATGTATTCAGAAATTTAATATGACAACAGCAGAGCAATAAAGCCAGCATGGAAATCTTTACAGGGATGTGAGCTATGGACCTACAGAGGTGGCATCCCCATAATGTTGACCTTGCCTAGGGCTATGCATATGGTAATAATGTATGAGCACTTTGAAATAAAATGGATGTGTAATTAAATAGGTTCAACTATTTTTTTTTTTGGAGAGATTTTTGCTATAGGGCGTGTGCGCTCGCCAGACAGACAGAGAGAGACATAGAGACAGAAAGCAAGAAATCACCCCCCAGGGGTAGGGTCACGCCACAATTCCTTCTCCTCCATTCTCCTCTCGGGATCTTGGGCACGCACGCACATGCGCCCGGCGTGAGTTTTAAGCCACCGGGTCTGGGACGCGAACCACGGTCGACTATGTGGGAGTCCAGCGACATAGCTATTACGCTAACTGCTGGTTCCCTACTATTTTTAAATCATTCTTTAGCTAGTGGAAGATAGTTTGTTCCTAAAACTAAAGGAGGACTATCTTATAAGTAATGTAACCATTATCAGTGGTTGGTTGGAAAGTATTGTCTGAGCCAATAGCCCATTGCTAAGTGTTAATCACTGGGAACGTTAAGGGATAAATTTTAAAAGAGAATGAAATTATGACTCTCATACAAGTATAAAATGAACCTGTTACTATTTTATTTTGCTCATTAGTGACAGAACCAAAAAGATGTCACAACTAGTTCAAAGGACAGTCCAAAGAGCAGACATACTTATAGGTCATTAAGAATGCTGAAATGAATTTGCTTAACAGATGCAAAACTGGCTTCTTCCAGTGTCTGAGGGAAGTCAATTCAGACAGATGTGAATTTCTAGGAAGAGGAATTATTTACATTAGTATCAGTTTACTATAAGATAGTTTCTATTTCTGCAGAGTTGTAAAATGGCCTAGTCAAAGCAATGAAGGGCAGAGATAACCCTGATGGATGAGCTAGTCAAGATAGCTACTACATTTCAGTCTTCTCCACTTTTTATAAAGAAGAAAGGTAGTCTATGCAGGAAAGAGAATGATCTTGTGCTACAAACCTCCTCTCAGATATGAGCATCCTGAACTTGGAACTTGGGGGAAATTATTTCTATTAATAGCTGTTGCCTCTCTTGTTTCTGTTCCTGCCTTTGTAATGGATACTACCTTTGTTGAATTTTGAAGGAACATTTCTGTCTTTGAAACAATCAAGTTGAGAAAGACTCACTTCACAGCTGGAGTTGAAGTCTTGGCAAGGTTGTTTGAGGGCATTGTTGTTCTTGGAAAGACTCCAGTTTTGCTCTTAATAAAAGGTGGATAGTTATAAATACTTAAACATTATAACTTCTGAACCTCTGTGGAGGAATAGGTAAGCCATGTAAACATTTACCCATTCCAAATAGCTAGATATGCATAATGCTTACCCAAGAACACATCATTAAATATTAACTCACTTGTAAATTAAATTGTAGATTGTATCAATCTACGTACTTCAATTAAAATGTTGTTCTTTCTCCAGGGGCCAACCCCATGTTACAATGAAAACAATTTAAACTAAGTCCCATGGAGAAGACAAGACTCCTTTGTAGAATCTTCTATAGCCTTGCTATTCAGAGTATGGTTCCCCAGAAGGGCCCTTGTTAGAAATGCTTATCTCAGGCCCAACTCCAGACCTACCATAGAGGTATTAGAATCTGTGTTTTACCAATACTCAGGTGATTCTTGAGCTTTTTACAGTTTCAGAAGTTCTATTCTCTAGTATTAACTCCTGAAAGTCACCTCCAATGTCTTTGATGTTTTCACAGGAATTGCCTATCTGTTTGCCAAAGCTTATCTGGTTTCCAAGAAACCACAGTACCTGGACACATGTATCCGGTGCGGGGAACTCACATGGCAGAAGGGCCTGCTAAAAAAGGGGCCAGGAATTTGCCATGGGGTGGCCGGCAGTGCCTATGTCTTCCTGCTGCTGTATCGACTCACAGGAAATTCGAAATACATCTACCGAGCCCAAAGGTCAGCTATTCACATATCCTTTTTAAAAATGATTTTCATCTAATTAATTTTCTGAATAGGTAATACAGTCACATGTTTTCAAAAGTGTTAAAAGGAATACAGCAACTGTGCCATCTAGCCATGTGGCTGATTTCCCAGGAGACAATCAGCATTGCCAGTTTTTTTGGTTATCATCCCCAAGATATTCTGTGTGTATATACGCAAAGAAATGTACATATAAAACTTTGTCCTTGTTTTTTATATACAAGTGATAGCACCTTGCTGTCTTAGTGATCACCTGAAATCGGTACATGAAGAGCTTCTTCAATCACTTTTATTGTTGCAATATATTACATTGTGTGACTAAATTTTTTTTTCAGTTTTTGCTATAGGGCATGTGTGCTTGACAGAGAGAGAGAAAGGGAGTGAGAAAGAATCCCCCCAGGGGTTTGGCCAAACCACAATTCCTTCTTCTCTATACTCTTCTTAGGATTTTGGGCACACATGTACGTGCATCCAGTGTGAGTTTAAAGCCAGCAGGTCTGGGACTTGAATTTGAGTTTGAACTGCAGTTGACTACGTGGGAGTCCAGTGACATAACCATTATGCCATTTGCTGGTCCCTGTTTCTTATGTGTTTTACTTCTTTGTTTTCCCCCCTTGATTTCCTCCCTCTCACCCTCTGCCATTTCCCTTAACTCTTAAGATGTATGGTCAATCTTGTTTAAAATTTAAAATTTCACTTAGAAATTGTTGCATATTGGGGCCGGCAGGTGGCGTGATAGTTAAGAATGTTGGACTCCCACATGGCCCACCTTGATTCCAGTCTCAGACCTGACGGCTTTCTTTCTTTCTCTCTCTCCCTCCCTATCTGGTCAAATTTAAATAAATAAATAAATAAATACAGATAAATGAAATAATTCTAAAAAAAGAAATTGTTGCATTTTCAGGAAAACAGTTGGTAGAAAAATTGTATCAAACAGAATTATAGTCTGTTTCCAGCTGATTTATTTTAAACTGCCACAAATAATTCCAAGAGCTCTAAAAAGATCAAATAAGTAATTTCTCTTCATAGGACCCCCTATGCGATAGCAATAATGTAAATTTATGGCAGTATCAGCTCTCCAGACTTGCCCAGCTCTGACCTCCAGTCTCTGAGTTGCTGATTTTTATTGTTGTTGATGGGAATGAGTGCAGCAAGTCAAAAGTAAAATGATGATATAGGTGGCAACTTTTCGAAAGCTGTAAATTACTATAAAATGTTAGTCATTATAAATAATCTGAATAGGATTTGTAAGAAATATTAGTAAAAGAAAAAAGGTCTTTGGGAGGAGAACATAGAGGCCAGTGATTTAAACATAATCTGCTTTGTAGCTGAGTTTGCTATTTGGTGTCATCATTATAAAAGGTTACTTGCCTTTCCCATTTATTTTATTTCTTTGTTTGTCCAAAGCACAGATTGAGTAAAATCTTGCCCATTTATTTTTATAGTTTCTGCTCTCTGTCACATATAAATGAAATCTAGCCCAGAAATACATGCCTACAGAAACACAGCACATTTCGTTTTTTAAATGAACAGTCATGTATCAGTTTTCTCCTATTCAACATTTTTTTCCTTCTTTTTTTTTTTTTTTTTTTT